GTTGGCCACCACCACGGGAGAGCCCCCAAGCTGCCTGATGACACAGCCCTGGTTGCCAAAGGTGACGACCCCCCCGGCCTGGCAGGGTCCCACCCTGGCTGTCACCGTCCCGTTGGCGGCGCTGAGGACGGTGCGGGTCGGGTACCCTCCACTCCTGGAGCTGAACCCCCCGTTCTTACAGCTGCCCCCCTGGCAGAACACCTCGGGCACACACTGCTTGGCCACCGAGCTGAGGACCCTCTTGGGGTGGATCCCGGCGCTCCTGGAGCTGAAGCCTCCGTGGTTCTGGGAGCTGTGCCGGGCCGAGCGTCTCCCCAGCGAGCCGTAGCCACATGCGGCGCCGTTGGGAGCCAACATCCCACACTCCTCTGCCACGTTGTACCCACTGCTGACCACAGCTGCAACACAGCCCGAGGGACACCACCTTCAGACAGGGGAACTGGAGGACTATCACTTCAGACAGGGGAACTGGAGGATTTTCACTTCAGACAGGGGAACTGGAGTACTCTCACTGCAGACAGGGGAACTGGAGGATTCTCACTTCAGACAGGGGAACTGGAGTACTCTCACTGCAGACAGGGGAACTGGAGGATTCTCACTTCAGACAGGGGAACTGGAGTACTCTCACTGCAGACAGGGGAACTGGACAGACAGGGGAACTGGAGGACTCTCACTTCGAGAGAGGGGGAAGACTCTCACTTGGACAAGTTGGTGCTTGAGTGATGGAACCAACCAAACCTGATTTCCACCCCTGAGCCTGTCTGAGCCCCTGCTCCTTCCAGCTCCTCCCCCCTGTCCCGACACATCCCCTCACACATCCTCCCTGTTCCCACGTTGCTCATCTGGTGGCATGTTCCCCTCCCCCAGGTTCACCAGGACAGTTTGCTGTTCCTCCCATGGGTAGAAAAGTGTCCTGTGTCAGCTCCACCACCCATGACCTTATGGGACCACTCAGGGGGCTCTGACCACCCCAAAGTTCCTCACCACACCATTGTGGCACCTCAGGGCTGAGCCTGAATATCAGATGGGGCTGAAACTTCCCAAAATGGAACAGGGAGGCAGAGCAGAGGGAATTGGGGCAGAGCAGAGGGAGTTGGGGCAGACAGTTTATGCTTCTCCCAAAAGTGTCTTTCCTAAACCAAGAAACCCTCGTGGCTGAAGATCTTTAGGTACTTACACACGCTCACAGGGTTCCCCACACATATCCTGTCAGAGGAGAGAAGAGAAGTGCAGGTTACTCCACCGAGCAGTGGTGGGAACATCTCCTGGTGTTCCTCACAGCTTCCAGCCCCTTATTCCCTTGTTGGAACACGCCTGACTCTCCCTAGGCCAGGAACTGTTTTTGCTGGCACCAGGGTGGACTTCACGGCCTCCAGCCATGTTTCCAGCCCCAGTTTCTATCAGCCTGGGAAGATCCTGGAGCTGCTAAATTCCCTTGGGAGCTGGAATTGCTGTGGCCTCTCATTAAGGTTGGAAAAGACCTGAGATCATCAAGTCCAACCTATGACAAGGAGGAAAGGGACAAGGTCTCTGTCACCCACCTGCTCTCTTCCCCCTCCAGAAGAGTCTTGTAGGTGGCAATCTCGATGTCCAGGGCCAATTTGACGTTGAGCAGCTCCTGGTAGTCCCTGAGCATGCAGGCCAACTCGTCCTTCGCCTTCTGCAGGGCGTTCTGCAGCTCGATGTGCTTCTCCCTGGCATCCTTGAGGGCACAGTCCCCGCGCTGCTCCACGTCGCAGATGGAGGTTTGCAGGCACGAGACCTGTCAGAGGGGAGGACAACACTGCAGGTGTCTCCAGGGCTTCATTCCCTAACTCCTGGGCATTCTGGGTTGGGATAACTCTGCTCTTCCAACCACAGAGACAAACCTCCCCAGGATCCCGTCCCTCTGTCCATGGCCTAGGGCAGATGTGAAGTCTACTAAAGGCCAAGGCATCACCTTCTGCTGTATCTGAGCTGTCCTACCTCTCTGGAAACATCTCCTCTGGGGCTCTCCTACCTGCTTCTTGACGGTCTCCAGCTCACACTGCAGCTTCTGGATCATCCTGGTCAGCTCCGAGATCTCACACTTGTTGCTCTGCAGATCATCACAGTATTTCCCTCTCTTATCCTGAAGCTCCTGAAACTGCAAGGAAGGAACAAAACAAGCACCATTTAGGACCTGAAATTGGAAGGAAGGAACAAAACAAGCATCATTTAGGGCCTGAAATTGGAAGGAAGGAGCAAGACAAGCATCGTTTGGGGCCTGGAACTGGAAGGAAGGAACAAGACAAGCATCGTTTGGGGCTGTGGCATTGCCAAGGAGACACTCAGGTGTCTCTTTCCTCACCCTGGTTTGGTAGAAAGCATCAACTTCTTCTTTGCTCTTCTGGGCTATCTCCTGGTACCAGCACTCCACGTTCTTGATGATGCTCTCCATGTCCAGGTCTCTGTTGTTGTCCATTTTGACGATGACCGAGGTGTCGCAGAGCTGCCGATCGACCTGAGCTCGTTCCTGTGGGTTGGGAACGGCTCCATCAGCTCTCAGCCCCTCTCCAGGAGGGAAGGGCTGACACGAGGAGCCACACTGCACTGGAGGAAGCCAAGCAATGTCTCTGGGGATGGCTCAGCAGAAAATCCTCCCCACACCATGAGTTGCCAATGTGAACTGCTGAGCCACCTGCAGCGATTGTGTCCACATCAAGGCAAGGGAAGCTGAGTGACTTAACCCTTGCTGTCCTCTCATCTGCTGCTGCTCCAGGGAGGCTAATGACAGGACTGAGCTGGGAGCTCGTCCAGCTCTAATCAAGCAGCTGGAGGAACTAGACAGACACAGCTTTTCTTCGCTTTTTTTTTTTCTCCAGGGTAGAGTTAGGACACAGCCAATTCCTACCTGGAGCTGCCTGAAGAAAGGGGGAACCACCCTCTTCTCCAGCTTCAGCATGGTAATTTTCTGTTGGCCTTGTACTTCCCTGCTTATAATTACTCAGGCCTTGGGATGAGACACATCCCAGAGGGGTTTCATGTGGCAGAAGTGGATTCACCGTCCCTGGAGGTTTTCAAGGTGAGACTGGATGTGGCATTTAGTGCTGTGGTCTGGTGACCAAGGTAGGGTTGGACTTGATCTTAGAGGTCTTTACCAACCTGGTTGATTCTATGATTCTGTGATGAGACACGGACCAGCTAGACGTCCTGGGATGGACCAGAGCAACTCACCTCCTCGAAGACACATTTCAACAACTCCAACTGCCTCCTTAGCAGATCCACCTTCACCTCCAGCTCTTCCTTGTTCAAGAAGATGCAGTCTGCATCCTGGAAGAGGAGACACACACGTTCCAGTCTGAATCGTGCTGGAAACGTTGGAGAAACACAAGGCAGAAGGAGCAGCAATAAGGCAGAGACATGTTTCAACAGGATTTCAGTGCAGAAAGGTGTGAGAGGATGAGTCAGGATGTCCTGATGCCTCCCGAAGGGAAACAAAACCCATTCCAACACGACTTACAGGAACTGATTTATTAGCCAGGACTAAGCTCCGAGCTCAGAAGCCACAGGAGCTTTCATGCTGGTCAAATGATGCCTGTGATGGCCAAAAAGAACCAGGAGTTCCAGAGTGACCTGTCCCTCCGTGTCCCCTCCCACCACGCTGTGCTCAGGGCCACAAAACTGCTGTGGCAGTGCTGATGGCACAAGTTTGAGGAGTCTCTTCCTCCTTTCTCCTCCCCTCTCTTCTGCCCCTGAGCCTCTCCCAACTCTCCCTCCTGCTCATTGTAACACATTTTTTTGGGGGGTCTGGCTCATAATTCACCTTTTCAGCCAAGTTCTGCCCCAAAGAAACCTCCCAGAGGTGTGAAGATATGTGGCGTTTGAGCTTCTCACCTTTTTGAGGGCCACAAACTCGTTCTCCACAGTCGTTCGCCTGTTGATTTCCTCCTCATACCTGGGGGAGGAGGAGGAGGAAAAGGGTGAGAAAAGAAATAGTCTCAGAGACACAGACATTAACCATCAGCTGTAAAGGACTTTAACCACCAAGCAGAAAGGACAATAACCATGAGGTAGAAAGGACTTTAGCCATGAGGTCTAAAGGACAATAATCCTCAGGTCTAAAGGACAATAACCCTCAGGTAGAAATAGCATTTGCCATCAGGTAAAAATGACATCAACTCTCAGGTGTAAATGACATTAACCTTCAGGTCGAAGTGATGTTAACTCTCAGAAATGACATTTGCCATCAGGTCTAAGTGACATCAACTCTCAGGTGTAAATGACAATAACTCTCAGGTACAAATGACATTAACCATCAGGTCTAAATGACATTAAGTCTCAGGTCCAAATGGCATCAACTCTCAGGTACAAATGACATTAACCATCAGGTCTAAATGACATTAACCATCAGGTCTAAATGACAACCTTCTCATGCTCAGGACCTACCATCAGCCACTTCAAGATCACTGTCTGGAGCCCAAACATTAAACCACCCCAAGATCAGAAGCTTCTTCATGAGCAACAACATTACCAATGCAAAGAGTTCACCAGGCAGACAGAGGAATGTGCCACCCCCCGAGGGAATGTGCCACATGTCTGGGACACGTTGCCTAAGATGAACCAGAAGAGCTAAATGCCAAGAGCTAGAGGAGACCAGAAGGTCCTTACTTGCACTTGAACTCCTCCACCAACTGGCTCGTGGCACATTCCTCGCTGCCCAGTTTCTGCTTCTCACACAGCAAACAGTCCAGACGCTTCCTCAGGTCACAGATGTAGTTCTCAAAGTACAGTTCCAGGTTTTTCCCCTTTTTGGGCAGGACATATTGCTGCAGGAGGCCCCACTTGGTCTCCAGCACTTTGTTCTGCTGCTCCAGGAAACGAACCTGAGGGACAAAAAGGAGCAGAACTTCAAAGTAAAGCGGTGAAGGCAACGAGTCCTCACCTGGTTTGACTCTGCTCTCATCTGCAGGTGTAGGGATAGGACTGGGGGAGTGAGAGGTGATTAGCACAATGGTCTTGAAATTATCTGTCCTTATTGAGGAATCTAAGTGACACAGGTCCAAGTGATTTAGGAATCTGGAGTTCACACCTCTAAATCCTGTGGAAATCTGGAACTGACACATCTAAATTGCTTAGAAACCAAAATGTCTTGTCTGAACCACTTGGGAATCAAAAATCTCATGTCTGAATTTGCCTTTCTCACTGATTAAGAGCCAAAAAAACTCCTCTGGATTGTTCTTTGAGGTATTTTAGGCTGAGGTTGATTCTCCAGAGGGGAAAACCTCTTTGTCTCTGTGGTTTCTACCAAGGGATCCTCAGGTGCCAGCTCAGATTTGATACCTAGCACCAAGATTTGCCTCCTTTGCCTTCAGGATTGGCTTTGGAGCAGTTGCTATGTTGAAAGACAAAGAGAGGAGGAAACTATTGGGATTAGTTATGGGAATGAGTAGAATTGGAGGGGGTTGGAGTAGGTTGGTTGACTTGTGGCGTGAGTTGGGTTTGGAAGAGGTCGGTTGGGTCTGGAAGAGGTCGGTTGGGTTTGGAGGAGGATGGTTG